GTAGGTCAGCGCATTTGAACATGCGCGTGCTTGCATGCATGCATGAATCTGTACGTGCCTGCGTCGGTACGTTTCTGTGCGGAAACAGGAGCAGTAGAGCGTGGTGCGAATGAGAAAAGAGTTTGGAGAATCGTTTCTCGTCCACGCGCGCTCACGTTGTTTCTCCGCCCGGTGCTGCCACACTGCGAGTGCTGATGAATAATCGCATATATTTCTTCACTTTGACCTGAATTCTATGTGGAGAGCAGACGGTGCTGAGCCCTGAGTGTCTCGCGGTGTGGCGGGCCTGAAGGCAAACGCGCGACTCGAATCGGTGGTGCTTGGGGCCGGTGCCTCACATCTCACGCCTCGTGTCTCATGCTTCATGCTTCATGTTCCAGTGTGCGAAATTAACGCGAGTCCGGAGTCAAATACTCCCTGATTTACTGTCGGACTCCCTGATTTGACATATGCAGGAGTCCGTGTGACTTCCTGAAAATTCTGCCACACTAAACTAGTTCGTTCCAGAGCACGGCCTCGCGAAATTACCGTATTTTTTTAGCAAATGACCCAAGAAAATTTGGCAGACGTGCACCGCAAATGTCCTTTGGTATTTTGTGGTAGTGCCAAAAGTATCTGTGGTGCTACTCGTATACTGCGGACTCCCTCTTTTTGACGGTCGGGAGTCTGCGGGACTCGCTTGTTCAAAGGTTAATTTCTACCCCTGCGTTCCATGCCTCATGTCTCACGTCCCACACCTCACGTCTTACGCCTTGTGTCTCGCAGGTGAGACAGGCGCTCCTGGATCAGCGGCAGAAGGGACAGGAGCTCACTCAGAAGCGCGCGGTCGAATCTGACGCAGACGACGACGCGGCGGGCGGAGACGACGCCGGGGCAGACGCGGTGGAGGTGGCGGCTCGCGACGTGGATCCGTTTGCAGAGTACAAGGACGCCGGAAACCCGTGGATGAAGCCAACAGGTGGCGCCGGCGACAGTGACAGGAAGGTACGTGTCGTTAGTGTCGCGTTCCGCGTAACGTTTCTCTCGAGGTTGTCGGATTTTGCGGCGATGGTAGGGGGAGGTTTTATTCCCGCGACGGATTCATGCGATTGACTCGTCGGCAGCGGTTTCGTAACTTGCTTACTGTACGATGCGAGATTTGTGAATTGTTTTGTGCGATTGGATTCATTCTTGCGCATAGAACGACTTCAAAATTCGCGGAAAGTCGAGTAGTCGATCGTCGAGTACGCAAACGCAGTGTGATGACAAAATTTCTTCACTTTGACCTGAATTAGACCATGTGGAGATCAAACGTCTGACGCGTTTGCCGTGCGCGCGAGAGAACGTGGCGGGAAAGCGTTGCGAATTGCGGCATCGCTAACCTGAGGCACTTACCACGTTCTGTGTGTACATTTGTGTGGCTGACTTTGCGGCATGTCGTGCCACATGTTTATTGGAAATAGGTGACATCTACCAGGCAATTTTAGCTGTGCTACCTTAGAACTGGTGAATAATAATGGAATATGTTATCCATACCATCGAATATATGCTCGATTAGTGTTGTCGATGGAGTTGTTAGAATATCTTCCCGTCATTTTGTCGTTGGGGGATACGGCATGCGGCTTCATCTTTAACTTTCATCGCTAGCTTTCTTCATCGATCAATGGCGTCGGGCGATAAGATCGTTCACCCAAGGTCGTTAGCCCCACGCCGACAAGATAAACCAAATTCTACGGCAAGCACAGGCCGAGGCAAAGCGAGATAGTCTTAGTGCCTTTCTGATCGCGGTCACGACGTCAATGGCCGCGGCGTGACTCGAAAACCTAGTAGGGAAGTCAAGCTAGACCGCCGCCCTACCGCCGGCTGGAGCGAATGTATACCTTCGTGAATTTTTCGGTTGGGCTTTTAGCGTGTTACGCGACGAGGCATTCACGTGTCTCGCGTCTCACTGGGCTCATCTGGGGACACACAGCGCCACGACGCGTGCGGGCCGCCCTACCGCCGGCTGGAGCGAATGTATACCTTCGTGAATTTTCAGCTGAGCATTTTAGCGTGTTACGCGACGAGGCATTCACGTGTCTCGCGTCTCGCTGGGCTCATCTGGGGACACACTGCGCCACGACGCGTGCGGGCGTCTCACGCGTCTCGTGTTGTCGTCATCGTTGCAGCTGCGGCGCGGGATCGCGTACGAGCAGACGACGAGGCAGCTGACGCGCTGGGATGCCGTCGTCGAGGAGAACAGACGAGCCGAGCAGCTGACGTTCCCGCTAGAGAAGCAGAGTCTCATTATGAAGACAGGACGGCAGCCGGCCAACCGCTACCAGGTGCGTGCGCGTGGGGGAGAGGGGGAGG